ACAGTTAAGAAATATTAATTAGTAGAAAAAAGGTATCTGAAGCATTTCTGTCTCTCTGATTGGCAAATATATCAACTTACACTGAGCTTTTAAGTACAAGGAAAGTAGCTCTTAACGCAAAGAAAATCCACTTCAAAATGGACGTCACTCTGAACAAGAATTGAATCATGGGAGGACCAGCTAGTTCCCCCTAAAAAAAGTAGGTAATAAGGCTGTAATTATTACTGGGAAGCAGATGATAAACTAACCACAAGTATGCTCTGGACGTATACTATGATGAAATTACAATTTAAATTTGAAAATCTCACATACCTGTTGTGTGTTTCAGCTCACTCACTCTAAGTTGCACGGTCAACGTCCTCAAATAAAAGGATTTGTACTTTGAACATGACCTGGTATGATTAGAAGAGGTGTGTTCACAAGGTGTGTATAAAAATCCAGTTAGATCAAGTTAGAAACCACAAATTCTGAGAATATATGTTCGCTTGCAAGACAACTCTAAACCTTACTTACAGTTTAGGGAAATCCTCAAGGTTGAACATCAAGTTTTGAACATCAGATTTAATGTGAGGATTTTGAGGCTGCTGGTTGTTTTTTTTAGAGACAACAACACTGGTTAATATTTAATCAGCCATATAAAATGGAGTTCGACATCTGCTTCCTTTTAGCACGCAACACCTTGCCATACTGATTCAAATTACTTTTCCATTCAAGAGTTAGTTAAGCCGCATCAAAAAACGCCCACCACCTATTAAATTTAACTCTTTAACTGATCTGTTCATCTTATCTTCATCTTGCGGTCAAGAGGGGGAAAGCAAGTAAAGAACACCAGCAAAGACAGTAAATAAACTGACCATAGAGCAGACAGTACAGAAACAAAAAGACATTTATTGCAAAAAGCATATTTATATAGAAAATGTTTCTACAAAGTCTTCTTAAAGGAATATCACAAGATCCTCAGAACTTAATGCTTTGACTTTGTAATTGTTTGCATATTCCAAGATGCCTTACAAAAGTAAAAAAAAAGAAAACAGTTAATTTCAAACAAGTAACACATTCACACCATTGTACTCACTTCGTCAAGTTACACTTCAAGTCTTATTCAGCTCTAACATCTTGCCCAGATATCCTTATGGTCAAATCTGCACTACTTCTACACATGTTGTTACACATGTGTTTGTATTTTTGTTCTCTTCTATAAATGTTGAACTTCTAATATGTAAGATCTAATATTGAAGAACCATGAATACAGTAAAGCCTGTTATAACAGATTATAGTTATTTTTTCACTTCAGTATCTCTAGAAAGATTAGGTCACTACAGCAGGTGTAGTACTGGTAATAGTTTAGAATGTTTACTCCTTTTGGACTATTGGTACATTTAAGTACGGCAAAATAAAGACATTTCTTTCTTTTAAAATTTTCAGGTAAACTTAATCTCTATTGGCTCCAGCAGTCTCTCAATGTTCAGTAACTGTCCCTGATTATTGTTCTTTGTCTCGTCCAGTTTCCATTGCTCGCGCAATAAACGTTCCCTTTCTCTTAATAATTCCTCCGGTTTGTCAGATGTCCTCTCTTTCTCTGTTATTTCCTTCTCCACTGCCTGAAGCTTCAGTTTGTTCACTTCCCTCTTCCTCTCCCCCTCTTCCAGGTGCAGTATGAGATGATGCCTCATGTTTTCCAGTTTGGTCTTCACCTCATTCAGTATTGGAACAAAATCTTCCCGGTCTTTCTGTTTGTCCAGTGACTCTTTAAGCTGTATGATTTTTTTCACCAACTCTGCTTTCTCGCCTTTTGTGGAGAAAAAATGAGAAAATTCAACAATAGAGACAGAAATACAACTTTAAATGCAATGTAATTCATTTAGCTTTTTCTTATTTGTTAGGTTTTTTTTTGACAGTGCACAAGACTATAGCTGCAAACGCAGAGTTAAAAGCTAACTCCTAAGTATGAACTCTGCGAGTGTCCCGGAAGGCATAATAATAACATCTCGTGTTAAAAAAAAAAGTATATTGAGCGAGGATAATAGTTTATATGGCAGTAATAGGGAGGAAGGGAGGGAGATGGACTTTAATTTTATTTTATTATCACAATCATTTTTTTTTTAATTCTTAACCCTTTTGACTTTTGGTATTTAGATAGTTCTCAGTTTGATATATTTGTCATTTTATTTACGTATCTGCCTATTATCTGATTTTCTAATGACTGCAATGCCACATGCACAATTATACGAACCATGAAAGGAGCACTGAATGTACAGACGTAATGTATGTGAAAAATATCTGCTCAATAGAAAATAAATCTTCTTTGATAGCAGCTTGTTTTGTTAGATATATGACAAATGAGACAAACACTATTTCAATGGTATTTTCAGTGATGAACCCTGAATTAGTATTCCTTTATTACTGTAGATGAATCACACTGCATATCATTATAAATGGGGGAACTGTGACTTACGTTTCAATTTATACGTGGCACAACCAACAACAATAAAACTAATGGCCAGTTCAAGCAGTCCACCAGCCGAGCTCACAAACAACACTGTGCAAGGAATTGGATCCAATCACAACTCCCCAGCTGAAATGAACATGCAGAACAATCACAAATCAGTTAACACTCCAAAACTGTGTCCTGGGTGGTGCTTAAAATTTGGAAAGTGGGAAAAGTAGTTATTCAAAAATTTGACGGCTGAAAATAATATATATGGGTGTTTGAGGATGCACAAGAAATTGCTAATATTTCATATTAGAAGAGCTAGTTTATAAGGCAAAAGAAACTCTCCAAGCAACTGATCTTCAGAGCAATGGGCTCTTTTTAAAGCCCACAAAGAGTAAGGATAACTAATTTACCAGCAGCGCAAGTTTCAATTTTATAGTCCACAGCTGGTCATATGCTTTTAGGGACATATAGGAACCGGTGACACATTTTAGCTGATGCAATTGATAACCTGCATATGCACTCAGCAAAACAAGTTACAAATTAGCCTGTAAAATATAGCGCTCTTTCCCTAAAATGATAACATACCGTCATACCAATTTCTCAAATGATGGACCAGAAACATTGCTGTTACAAATGCCAAATACTCCCTTCTGAAAAATGCAACGTTAGGCCATATTACTTATTTATGGTGATAACAAAACTTAAAGACCCAGAAAGTTTCTATAAGATAATATTAACAAACTGAACAATTGCAGTAAAATGGCTAGTGTGTAATTATACCTCCAAAAAGGTGTGCAATATACGAGAAGAGATACCGAACAACATTCTTCAAATTGGCCCTGAAAGATAATGAACTGTGGAGTTTGAAGAAACAATGTCCGTCCTGGACAAGGTTCGAAGTTTTGTGGTAAATTCAATGAATAAATTAAACAACAATGAAGACAATAAATGCCCCATAAAAAGAGAGGCATAATTGCTCGGATGAGATGAAAAAATTTAATAGTTACTGAGATTATATTGTATTTTTTAGTAGCAAGAGCACTCCACGCAAACCAGCTTTTCTTAACCGTAAACCTTACCTGACATAAGGTAAAAATTCGGTTTAGCGCCTTAATTTAGTAACCCCACAAAAACCATGATTCTGTTCCTAAAACTTACACAACCAACTAACAACAAATAACGACAGGAAAAGTGCAAGTTGTCAGACTGCACTCACCCGGCTTCCCCCTACCATTGTCCAATGCAAATGAGGGAGAAATCACAGTTGGCCAGAAAAAAACTGACCGCAAGATAAGAAAAATGGCTGTACTTCTTATTAAACAACACTTGCCGTCGGCGTTTATTTTGTGCAAGTCCTCTTTGAAATTAATGTGTAACATCTATGCAACACAAACATTGTTGTTAAACAGCAAGTTTTAAGCCTCCGCTTACTGGCTAAAAACTGAGAGTGTGATTTCCGAAACTCTTTTTGAGCTTGTCAAACATGATCATATGCCGTTAGTTAATCCTGTACTTCTTTCTGGCTTCAGTGTCATGTGGAGCCTGCAAACACATTCATCACGTCGACACTTCTGCCAAGTTGATACCAATA